GAGATAGAAAAAAAGAAGGAAAAAGGATATAATATGAAAGAATGGACATATAGGAATGTGGAGAAAGAAAATCGTTGGCTTTTAATAAAATAGTTTTGCCACTATTTAGCCTATTTATGACCGCCACCCCGGACCATCTCCGGTCTTCCCTCACATTTTAATAGTTAAATATAATAAATTTTATTTTCAACCTTAAGGATGAATGATAAAAATCCTCGTAACGTTGGAAAATGTTAAATCATGAAAGACGGAATATATTATAATATAGAAATATAATAACTTTTTAATAAAAACAATAGTTAAAATTTTTTAAGATTGCAAAATAAATCTTCCTATAAATTCCTCTAAATTTTTTTAGAGCATTGCAGCGAACTCATAAGGCTTTCAATGTCGAAAACTTGGATTTTTTTCAAACCTCACACCTAACAATTTTTTTAATTATCTGATTTTTTGCAAGGTAACAGTCTAATTTGACTTTGCTATTTTATGGGAATATGAATTTTTGAGGGAGGGAAACTTTTACGGTGTGATATATTTTCGGGGAGAACTTTCAAACCCGGAAACAAGCGAAAAACGTGAAACAGACCACAGCTAATGTAATTGTGAATAAACTATAAGTTAATAATTTTATTGAATATTTAATAGTTGACCGTTGAATTATAAAGGAAGGAAATGGTCCGGGGTGGCGGTCATAAATAGGCTAAATAGTGATACAACTATTTTATTAAAATCCAACGTTTCGACCCGACTTTGCAGGTCTTCTTCAGGGCTAGGACGGAAAAGATACAAAACATATAGAGAATTGTGGAAGTTGTATAATATTTAGAAAAAAAAATATAAACAATGTGAATAAGCTTATTAAAATTAAGCTAAGTAACATGATCCTAAACTGAAGTGAAGCCCTCCCCCCGTCCCCAAAATGGTAAAATATATCCATGTGTTATGGAGAAAAAATTATAACTTAAAGTATTATTGTTCGTGTAATTACATTTAAAAGGACTTAAGGAATCACTTAAACACCATTTCATATAGAAAGTTAGTTTCTTTCTTGTTTTCTAAAGTAATTATCGTCATTTTTAGGAAAAAAAAGCTTTCGGACTGAAGCCCACCCCCAAAATTAAATCCTGGATCCGCTAGTGAATGCAATAGTCAACTATTAAATATTCAATGAAACTAAAATAACCTAAATAAATTGAGGTCTTCTTCAGGGAGGTGTGTTGAGCCCAGAACACACCTCCCTGAAGAAGACCTGCAAAGTCGGGTCGAAACGTTGGCTTTTAATAAAATAGTTTCATCACTATTTAGCCTATTTATGACCGCCACCCCGGACCATCTCCTTCCTTAATAATTTTACATTTTACTTACAACACTTAGAATGGAGAAACAATATAATTTACTGGAATCCTACGAAGAGGGGCATAAAAGGTACACCTGTTTATGGAACACCTGTCATATTTTAGTACCGATATTACGATGTATCAAAATAAAAAACTATCGGGGAAAAATATCGATATTTTTACAACGACCAAGAGCTGTGTCTGATACATCAATTTTTTTTTTTTTATTTTAATTTTCCATGAATCCTTTTTAATTATAAACATGTTGTCTCAAAAATCCCCATTTTGTCACTGACAGAGAGGAAGCAAAACTAATTAATCGTTACCTACTCGATCGTCAGTGTTGATAAATTGACGAAAATCCTTTCTGGTGACTCATTGAGATAATACCACTCGATCCATATCAACTTCCTTTCCTGATTCTTCAAGTCAGTATTGCCCGATCTTTTGAACTCAGCCCCTCTAACATAATGTCCGTCTCTCTTTCAACAGGTTAGCAAGCCGAATAATGTTATTCAATTTAATATAAGTATAAAATAATAATGTATCTTATAGTTTAATTTGTAGATTCATTCGCCAACTTGGTAAATTAATTTTTTTAATTACCCAAACTTAACAGGCTTTGATGGCAAAAGTCATTTGTAGAAAAAAAAAAAAAGGAAGTAAAATACTTAGGAAACATTACTATTAATTAAATATGTTGTAACAGACCAAATATATTTTAATCATTATTTTAAAATGCCAAGTATTTTGGGTTTTTAAATTACAGAGCGTTTAAATTGTTTTCAGAAAAAAAAAATTCAAATACAAAATACTACGTTCTTATGAAGTAACACTTTACAATTACTTCCTTAAAATATGTTTATTTTGCAAAGAGAAGAGTTATGAGGAAAGAATACAGTGTGTGTGTGTATGTGTGTTTGTGTCTATATATATATATATATATATATATATATATATATATATATATATATATATATATATATAAACCTGCACCACTACAACCCATGAAGGGTCTTGTGTTCAGTACTATTTAGGGAAAGCACTGTTTCAATGTCAACGGTTGTGCAAGGAGGTGATTTGACCGAGATTACACTCAACCGCCAGGTTTTCCCCCTTAACTAATTTTTTAATTAAGGGTACCCACTTTATAGAGGCTGGGTGTGCCCAGGAGGGTCTCCTGACCCAGGGTCGCCCCACGGCCAATGAAACAGATAAATAAATTTTCGGGGCTCGTACCTGGGACCTTTAGCATTGGAAACTCGGTACCCTACCGCTGAGCTACCCCACTACCTTTTATGTGTATTTTATATATGTATATATAAATAAAATAAATTGTGAAAAAATTTATGTTATTCACCTATTATTTTATTCCTGAGCAATTATTATAAAAGTGATGTTATGTCACTTTTTTTTTTTTCGATATTCTTTTCTCTAAGATATTGTATAAATTGTATCCTTACTTTTTCTTTGTTAAAAAATAGTTGAAAATATGAATAAAGAAAAATAATAAAGCACGGTTTTCCCAACTATAAACCCATACCTTGTACAGATTCTTGTTTAACAAAATATAATAACAATAACAAAATATTATTCATACTTATTAGAGACCTAACCAAGTTAATTATAAAAAATTATTTTTCTTGTTATAACGGGATAGAAATAAGGTTTGTTTAACTTGTTTGCGTTGTAGAAATAATCCATTTCCATAACAATGTACAAATCCTAGTACTGTTTACAATTACCAGTATAATATTTAAATATTTATATGTTGAAATAAATTAATTTTGTATGATTACTTTTGTTTTTAATTGTTTTTTGTTTTTTCCTGTTTACAGGTGCACTCACATGGATGAGGAAGTCAGTATGGACTTCCTCTCGTTTGTAATTCTTTCTTCTGTGTAAGTAGACAAATATTTCTATTGCTTTATTAACTTAAAATATCTTTATTAACTTAAGATAAAAAAATTCTTGAAATACATGCCTATTTTTTTTTAAGAAAGTTATCTGATTTCATAACTTTTTACCTTTCTTAATTAATTAATTATTATTTAATATATCAAATTCCAAACACATTTATTGTTAATGACTCAAGGATTTATTGCCTATTGAATAAAATTAACAAAAAATATAATTATATGGTAATCATTAGTTTCTTATTACTTGAATATTAGCATATCCCATTAATAAAAAAATCAACCATTTCTATTTCTAAATTTTATTTTAAAATATTCTTTATATTTCTACTTAGGTATTTTGTAGGTTTACAACCGATTGTTAATTGATTTGATATGATAAGATGACAGGAAATCTGTAATAAACCTTTATTATCTTATCCTCAATAAAGTTTTTTAGGTTAATTGTTGAATTTTATTAACGTTCGTAGACATGGCTGTTATATATTGCAGTCGTAAGTAGAAATAACTGACACATGAAATAAGGATCCTTGCAACGGCATTTAATAATTTTTTTTTTAATTGAGCTGAGATTAAAAATCTCAAAATTAAAATTAAAATAGTGATACACTAAACATACATTTTTAAAGTAAAAATTATATCTCCGGTATATTTAATATCAAAAGCTTCATTTTGGAATAAATTATTTCATCACTGTAGTTTCCTCCGTGAATTATTTTTAAAAAAATATTTCAATCTGGCTATCAGTTTATTAGGTTCTCTGTCAGTTTTCATCCACATTCATTTTTTTTTTTATGATTTAATGTTGTTCTCTGCATTAAATATATGGAAGCTATGCTGGAGAACAAATTATAATTTATTGTTGTAATTCAGTAATTATTGAAGGAATTTAGTAGACTGTTCTACATATCGTGGGTGATAAATTGTCAGCACACAGTCATTTTAAGATTTTTATTGTTGTTGACGTTTCAACACAAGTATGTGGGTCATCATCAGGAAATATGCACTAACTAAAATTATTGCATCCTGACTATTTATCACCCACCATAAGTTAGAGAACATATTATATTACAAAATTTTAAAACTGAGAAATAGTTTTTTATTTCTCTTTCAAACCGTATGGATCAATTTTCAGCTTAACTATTACAATGCTTTGTTTAGAAAAAATTAAACAAGTGTTATGTAGAAATGAGTGTTTATATTCTCTTAAGCGATAATTTCTATTTGTAAAATATCAGTTAACACTTAGCTCTTCAATATAATTTTTTTTATTTCTCCTGTATATGTAATATTTATATATCTGTTAAAAGATGGGAAACTCAACAAATAAAGTATTTTTGGATTTTTTACTTTTTAGGGTAATAACACTGTTCAACAAAAAAATAATTATATTTTCTCTTCCTTGAAAATTGTTTAATTGTTTGTGAGTTATAGCATATAATAAGTTGTTTTAGATGGAGTTCTAGGTCTGATAAGAACGAAATAGTAAAATTTGCCTTTATTAGTAATGCAGTTGTACTTCTGTTATATGTGATATTTATTATAAATATTCTTGAAAAATTGTCTGAATGTGTTCACTAATTATTTTCATTACAGAATAAAAGTAATGTTAAAGTTAAGCAGCTTAAGTGCCGGTCGAAATACTAAGTCATTATGAAAAACTATCATTACCCTGACAGATTTTTTTTTTTATTATAAAAGTTTTTAACTTTTATTGTAATTTTTTTCAGGCCCTCTTGAAAGCAAAATGCTTATCAAAGAATACAGGATCCCTCTACCTCTCACCGTAGAGGAGTACCGCATTGCACAACTGTATATGATAGCTGTAAGTTATAAAATAATGTTTCATATGTATGTATTTAATTGTAAGTTCATAAGTTTAACATTAATACTTGTTAAAATCCATTTAATCATTAGTTTAATAGGAGGAAATATTTCAGTGGATAAAACAAATCATGGTTCAACAATATGTGTATTGTGTTTTCATTACAGTGACACATAACATTTTCTTCTTTTATCTAGGAGTTTTTACTCAGTTAATTATGAAATATGAGGATGATTTTTAACGTGTACTATAGGCTTTTTCTAAGGCAACATTAAATTTACAGAAACCGTTGCTTATTACAATATTTTTGGGAGATTAGTGAATCAATTATATTTATTCTTTTGTTTAATCCTTTATATTAATATTTAATGAAATTGATTTTTATATGACATATCAATATTATAAACGGTCAGGAAAAAAAATATTCAAACTAGTATAAAACCAATAATTTTAAATATAAAAAATGCATATCTACTTAGCATTCCTGAACTGTCCACAGCAAGTGTGAAATAGCTCAATCTGAACCAATTCGAAAAATCTTTGACTAACTAAAATAATACCAGGAATATATCAAATCATAATTTGTCATCCTGATTAAATTCATTAAAATGATAGATTATTATATTTAAATTTGAGTACTATTTTTTTGTTCCTATGATCATTTAGGGTTGAGGTGAAATAGGAAGTTTTACAAAAAAGTTACCTCCATACTACAAATATCCAACAATTATTATTATTATTATTCAAGAATAAATTATTGTAGTTTTTTGCTAGAGACATCATAGATCGATTAACTATTTTCCTTTTAAAGTGACCATTTAATTACGCTATCTATAATAGTATTCATAAGTGTATTTCTTCTGGTGTTTGATTAATTTTAGAAGGATATGAATAGTTTGTGTATTCACTTTTATTTTTTTAATATTACCTCATGAACTGTAATTTAATCCTTTCAAAGTATATAATTTCACAAGTTATAAAAGTTGTTATATGTTTTAAAACTGAAGTAAATTAATATTTTATTCACAATTTTCTATTTTTTTTTTTCAGAAAAAAAGCCGTGAAGAAAGCAAAGGAGCTGGAAGCGGTGTTGAAATCCTCGTTAACGAACCTTACGAAGATGGGCCTGGAGGTAATGGCCAGTATACGCGCAAAATTTATCATGTTGGAAGCCATTTGCCAGGTATTATTTTTATGTTGTATTGTTAACTCCAAGAATTTATATTTTCACCTGATTTAAATTTATTTTATTTTTTACTTTTAATAGGTTGGCTAAAAAGTCTATTACCCAAATCAGCATTGTCTGTTGAAGAAGAAGCGTGGAACGCATATCCTTACACAAAAACACGTTATACGTGCCCTTTTGTGGAAAAATTTTTGTTGGAAATTGAAACTTACTATTTCGATGATAACGGACATCAAGAAAATGTATTCAAACTGTCAGGTGGTGATCTTCGAAGTAGGATAGTCGGTAATGACTTTGTTTTATTTATATACGAATTACAACCAGTTCTAATATACTTAGTCCTGCCATAGATATTGTTACAAGAAAATATATACAGATTTCAACAGAAAATTTTTTCAAAAACTTTATTAGAAAATAAAATGTATATCTATAGAGAGTAAAACAAAAATAAATTGATCAAAATGTTCTCCTTTTGCCTTGATACAGGCATTTAATCTCCATGGTCAATCATCAATAGCAGCACATAATAATCTTGAGGAAAGCGATCAGCTGCTGGAACCAGAGATTGTTTGAGGCTTTCCAAGTTAGGGTGTGCTCTGTGGCATGCCATCCTCTCCAGTTTGTACCTAAGCCGGTGGGTTGTGATCAGAGCTTCCTGAGGGCCAATCCGAGGCAGAGATAAACTGTGGAATGTTCTTTTGCAGCCACTGCTGAGTTGACCTGGCCTTGTGAGCTGGAGCCAATGACTCCCACCAAACAGAGTATCATTTAGAGGCTTGAGAACAGGTTCCAAATTATCCTCCTGATAGTTTTTAGCGGCTGTTTTAACTCCTTTTTCACAAAATGGAGCTTTGTGGTGCCATCAAAGCAAACTCCCCATTAAACCGTCACTGAGAAAGGATGATGGCCTCTTTCCACTCTTCCAATGACTTCTTGGACTTCTTAGAGCTGTACGTACACTCGATCATTTTGTCGATTAAATTTTTCTTCAATTATAAAAATTTTCTCATCGCTAAATAAAATCTTTCGATGAAGACCATTGGTGTGACAGCCAAGGAGCACTTTGCATTTATCCACTCTATTTTTTGGGGGGGAGGAGTGGTTAACCCTTGTCCTGTCATTCTTCAAAATGCACCCATCCTAAGGTCACTTTTAATATGTGAGACAGTGATTTGACAGAGATTCCCATTTCCCGAGACATGATTTGTTGTTTTCGAATGGAATTTCTTCTGATTCGAGCAGCCACTGCTCTCACTACATTTGCCGTTCTCACAGTGTGGGGATAGTAAGGCCTGGTCGAGATCTGTCACATACAGATGGGGCCTCATTATATCTATTTATAGCGCGGCACACGAACATATGGCTGATACCCAAAGGTTTCAAAGTGTTCAAAATCTCTGACCTACATTTTCCAACTTTGTGTAAGGCGATCACAGCTATTCGGTTTTCTTTATCACCCCACTCCATGTTAACTGAGCGAAAGAAAAATACAAACTAATTGGAATTATTATCCTGAGATTTAAAGAAAATAACCTGATAGAGGTAGGATTATCTAAATAACACCCAAGGATGTAAACAAAGTTCAACTTTTGTAACAGTATTTATGGCAGAACTGGATATAGCTATCCATTCACAGTTTTTAATTATATGCACTGTTATGACAATATATTAAAATATTATATAAATTGTGTATACATAAATTGTCCTTGAAGATGGATCAGAAACCCAAAATGCCGGAATAGGAGATCTTAAATAAATAATTGGCATTGAAAGAGGTGACTTCAGTTATAAAAACCTAAGGACCAATATAACTTTTTCTCATAGATATTTAAAAAAAAAAACATGTGAAGAAATTAATTACACCAAGCTTGTGAGATTTTAAGTATTGTCAATTGTAATATAAGATTTTGTTTATCAAGCTTTTTACCGTTTTGATGGTATATTTTATATTTATATTTTTCTCCAGCTCTGGATATGATTTTTGATTACTTTTCAAAAACATGTGGCACACTCAGTATTTATAAATTTGGTACCTTTAAAAATCTGAGTGTCTCACTTCATTATTCAATTGCTGGTCTAAAAAACTGTAATTCTTACCAATTACTGAATATAAGACCATTCATGGGATGTTTTTATTTTTAATTCTTTATTTTAAAATAAAAATAGCCTGTAATTATTTTTGTTTCTCAGACATATGAGCTATTGAGGTATGTTTTAGCTCTAAAGATCAAAATATTGGCCCTAAACATCAGTTGTCAGATTTGTAATACAAACATTTTATTCTTTTATTGACAAAACACTTGACATCCTCACCAAACATAATCATATTTAATTTAAGGCATGGAGATATTATATCATAAAAGATAAAATCTTTTAAAACATATAATGAATATCTTTTTAATTATAACAAATGTTAGTTTGTCATTGATTATTTTTAAATTATATGAATTTTAATTTCAAATAAATATTGCAAATTTACAGATTTGATCGATGTTGTAAAAGATCAACCCCATGGTACCGATTATGTCAAAGAAGAAGATCCTGCGTTATATGTTTCACAAAAAACAAATCGTGGCCCTCTATCCGAAACGTGGCTTGAAGATTATTGGGCAGAATGTAAAGTAAGATCTATAATTTCATATTTAGTTTCTAATTTATATCAGCTGTTGATTTTGATTACACTTTTTGATTTGATATCTTATAATATATTTGGTATTTGGTCTATAAGTGATTTTTTTTTCTTTTTAGGGAAAATCAATGCCTCTCCCAAATGGGAAGTCGATTATGTGTGCCTATAAATTATGCAAAGTTGAATTCCGTTATTGGGGCATGCAGACTAAGTTAGAAAAATTTATTCATGATGTCGGTAAGTTTATTTAACTTATTGTTTATCCTTTTTAGCAGTCTACAAATGAATGTTATTTTTAATAAAAGTTTTCATGTTCAAGCTTTGCGCAAAACAATGGTACGAGCTCATAGGCAAGCGTGGGCGTGGCAAGATGAATGGTATGGACTCACGATGGAAGACATAAGGCAGATAGAAAGGCAAACACAAGAAGCCTTGAAAATGACTATGTCAGGTAAACAAAATGCACTACCAGATCTGTTAATATCTTGAGTTCAAGAGTTCAATCAATAAAATAAAAATATAATCAGGCTCCTTGCACAATTTTATTTTTGGTTTATTTTCAACAATGAACCTTTTTAATCGATCAAAAAAAAAAAAAAAGAAAAGAAAAGTTAACCTCCTTAAAAATTTGAGATTTTACATTTCGAAATATGTAGGTATATGTAATTGAATAAAAAATCAGTCCGTCCAACGTCTGTTCTCCGAAATTACAGGGCTAATTTTTTTAAGATATGGTACAGATGTCAGAGGACACCTAAGAATGACCCTCAGAACTCGGCATTACCACTTTTTCCATCAAAATGGCAGCCGAAAAACCTGTGTTTTTATAGACTGTAGCGCCTAAACGGATGTAATGATTTTAATAAAACTTGACTAAAATCTTCTTCTTGAAGCCCTATAAATTTATGTATACACAGTCATGATCATAGATATTGCATCACCTATTTCTATTGATACTTATGATGATAGCATTGATTCTATTGAATTATTTTGTTTTTCTCTACTTATTTTGGTTACAAGAAAACTTTAACAATGTTTCTCAGTTCAGTTTTAACTAATGCCAGGATAAAAGTTGTAATTAAGGCCAGTTTCAAAAATATTACAATTGTGACGTTACATGAAGTGAAGAAATTTTCACGGGAAATAGTAGCGAGGATAGGTTACTTTTAATCAACGGTATTCAGAGTTTTGAGAAAAAAAACAACGAACAATTTGATGCGATTGTTTTTAGAATAACGTTTCAACATTGGCAAAGAAATATCCTGAGATCTAGCAAAAATCAATCTGGTAAATAAAATAAAATTTTTACTGGGTGATGCAATTTCTATGACCCCGACTGTAATATATTCCTCCAAAAAGAAGGTGAAAATAAAAGTTATGAGGTATGCAAAAATTAGATTTTCTTATGCCGTTGTTAGAAAAATTACAATAAGTTGGCTAGAGATTTATCACTCGTGGGTGGAAGTGTAAAATTATATCTTGCTACAATAAGTAAATCTCATAAATATGATAAAATTGACTACTGCCCAATTTGGATGTTTGTGCCTGATAATATTTCGCCACAGGCATGGACAACCGACGCAACGGCTCTGACTGTACCATTACTCGTTGATTTGTTATTTTGTATATTAAAATTTTGTAAAGAAATTTGATGTCTTAAAGTTTTCAAATAAACATAACACTCGTTAATCAGTTCTAAAGCTGTGACAAAGTGTTTTTTGTTCATAGTATAACCATTTACAATTGTGTCAAGATTATATTTTTGTCATGATACATTAAAATCTGTGTTGTCGTAAACCGCAACTTTTTACAATTATTTAAACATATTTAGAAATATTGAATATTTCACAATTGCACCAATATTATTAGCAACTATTTTTTAATATTATTTTTAACAATCCCCTCTTTTATCCTACAGTTTCCCAATAAATCATCTGGAAATACCACTAACTCAATCTTTTCATTCTCGGATTTAAAGTTTAAAAAACAAAGTAAGTTCATTTTCAATTGTAAACAAGTTTATAAAAGTTGTCTTTTACGGAAAACACTTTAAAACTGCATAGAAGCAAAATTAGTTCTTGTTTATCTTCTGTATTTCAGAGATTTTTAGATCAAACTTTCTATATATCGAACACAGTAGAAAGTTTGTAATTTAACATTGATTATGCGTATCTAATCATTCTTCAACTATTGAAATAAGAATCAGATATAAAATATTTATGTAAGCAATGAAAGCTTTCTAAAATGTATGCCATAGTTTGATACTTTTTAAAGAATTTCTCTCTGAATAAATTCATTCAGCCCTGAAAATTCAACTGTTATTAACTTAATTAATGAACCTTCAAGTTCGATATGTATGAGTTGTAAAATGATATCTCTAAAATATTTCTGAAAATATTACTAATTCCACTATTCATGGCTGGGAAGTTCAGGAATAACCATCTAGTTTTAGAAATAGCATTTTTATGACTTAGTTCAATTTATCAGTTGCTTTGACATATTTTCAATGGAAAGATCTTTGATTTTGTCCACTATATGTGAATCTCAGTGTTGATGTGCTAAGAGAACTAAAATCTTCAAGCAAAAAATATATAAGTTGATCAAGAAATTAATGTGTATGAAATTAAAGCATGTTAGGAAGAGATCTCACTTATTATGGCTGGATTTTCATGACAAGTGAAATTTAGATTGTTTGAAAGACTATTTTAATTTACAGCAAGATAATTTAGTGTAATTTATAAGTAACAAATGTTCATATGTATTTTAATTTTTATAACACACTGTCCATTATCACTAAGAAATATTTTTAATTGTAATAACTGGATCTATAAATGTTAAGGTAAAAGTATGTTTTTTTTTTATTTTACCTCAATATTAAAAAAAAAAATTACTATCAATATCTTCATCTTCAGAAAACTTCACTTAGTCAAGGGTGCTCTATATACAATTCACTTTGGCTTGTAGGTGGTATTTAAACCAAGTCTTTCCCCACTACACCTTAATTAATTTCCTTAATGAAATTTTATAGATTTTTTTCCAAACAAGGGCACAAAATTGTATGAATATTAACGTAACCTTGGTATTCCATACATTTTATCTCAATGGCTGAAATCTTTTGATAAACTAATAAATGTATAAACTGAACATAAAATATGAAATGAATTAAAAGTATTTAATAAATATGGTTGATGGTGTTTTCAAAATAGTTTTAGGGATTGAAATAAAAACCTCACAGATTTGACATACTAGGATATTTTCGTTGTATAAGATGATATTGAACTGTTGTTTAGCTTGATTTAGTTTTTAAAGAGCAATTTAATAAATGTTATGTAGGAATAATTATTATATAAGTTGTTGAATTAGTTAATATTGGTTTTACATTTACAAAATATTGTTTTTGTATTTTATGTTATTCTTTATTCTTACTTATGAGTAAAGAAATAAAGTGAATAGTACCTGTTCGACTATATGTTGACTTTAAAATTGTGATAATAAAGTTTTATTTTTTTTTTCTTATTTATTTTGAGATCCTATATTTTTTTTTAAATGAAGAAAAAACAGATATTCTGATTTCTTAAAATCAGTCTTACACATACAGAGAGTAAGTAATCAAAGTTAGTAATATATTTTAAAAGTCATAATAAGTATGCTTTTTGCATTTTCTTTGTAATGTATAAACTTAAGTATTAGTAAAATTTGTTTTACAATTGTTGCATAGAACTGGGGTGCAAACATGAAAATCCATTTTGTTTCTTTAAAAAATATATTTTGTTCAATTTTTATTTTATTTTTTACAAATAATTTACCCAAATATATCTTAAAATCTTTTCCATGTAAAAATATTTTTTCAATTGAGCAATATGTTTAGGAAACTATCAAAACTGATAGTTATGGGGAAGTACTTTAAAATTAGTTTAAATTAAAGATTTTGATTAAATTAAAAACTATTTTATTTGACAATACGTTTGTTTATTTCAAAAGAATACGGTTTTGTAATCTTAACTTTAATTGGAGGTTGAAAAAACAAATTTTCTTGCAAAATGTCAGACTCTAAAATACATTTCATGGTGAACTTAATCATTTTTCTGCATCCCACTTTTGAGAAATAACTACTGATTTGCTTCTGAAGTTAAAATACATTATGAATAAAAGTTGTGATTCATCCCGTGTGTTTATAGTGAAACACTGTTACTAACACATTAGCAATTCTGAATATGAGAAATTTAATTTTAGAAATTATTAATTTGGGTTTGATTTAGTCACCTATAAGACAGATAAACTGCAAAATAAAATTTGCCAAAAAACAACTGTATTATAAAAATCACCCAGGAGAAAAACCAAACAGACTCAGAAAGGATCTATGATACTACGCTTCAGTTTAATAAAGACCTCCGCACCAGGTTGGTCTGTCAGCAGCAACAGCTTTTTATTTTCTAACTAGGTCTGCCACAATATCGTCCAACCATCTCGTCCTAGAACGTCCACGTCCTCGGGCACCTCCTGCCTCCTGTTCATTAACTGTCTGTAAGGCGATTGTATGCCATGCACTCTACATGCCAAGCGACCTTAACCTTCCCTTTTTAATTATTGCCACTATATCATGTTGGTCATATAAGCCTCTCAATTCATCATTCTTACTAATTCTCCACTCTCCTTGAGAGCAGACTGGTCTGTATATTTTTCTGCCCACTCCTTGTTCCCACGAGCTTATTCGCTTTTCATTCCGTGCTTCAGGATCCATGTCTTGCTTCCATACGTGACTACTGGGCATATAATGATTTTATAAATGATCCTCTTGGCACTCCATGAAAGATCTTAGTACCTTAATGCCTTGCTAATACCAGTAACAACGATTCCCTGCTGCTATTCTATCTTCAATTTCTTTACAGAGTTCATGGTAACAAGAGATCCAAGATATTTGAAGGCCTCAAAAACTGGTGGAGGAACGGCAGGTTTTGTGTGCTCCTCATATACTCTGTTTTTCTCTCATTGATATGGAGTCCTCTTTTATTGGCCTCCCGTTCCAACTCTTCCAACACCACACTAAGTCCTAACCAACTAACAGGACTAAGGATTGGTCCTGATTGGTAATGTCTCCTCTATGGAAAAATTAAAAAAGTTGCAGTCTAAGAATCTCCTTGCCAAAGTTCATTATTAATAGGAAAACACTGTCCAAATGCGCCTTGTGATTTGATTCGACATTAAGAGGCACTCGTGGTCGTACAATCCATACTCACCATCTTTTTGGAAACTCCAAATCTGCCTAAATCACGCATTATATATACCCGATCGATACAATCATAGGCTTGCCAGAAATCAATGAAGAGTTGGTGCAGCGTGATTTCATATCCATGTGTCTTTTCCTACAGCTCCCTTAAAGCAAAAATACAGTCAGTTGTCAACCTTTTCTGTCTAAAACCATTTTGATAGTCACCAAGTATTCTCTCCATC